TCACTCTGGTATCGCTCTCGGTGGTCTCTCGCTCTCTGGTCTCTACTCTGGAGAGTATTTCAAGAATATAAGATAAAACAACTGCTTTAGATAAATGGGGCCATGTATAGCAAGAACACTTTCATAAGTAGCATTAATTTAAAAACAGCCCTATTAATGTTGTGTTTCTCCATCACATTGCGTTGAATGATAGAAAGTGAAGTTGCAGTTATTTTCTGCCACAAACCCATGCATAATAAGGTCATTTTTGGCCCCAACCCTTCGTTAGCTCGTCCATGTGGAACTAGCACAACAATCCTTTTGCATTACATTGTTTATTTAACCCAGCGAGCGTATACAGTAGTAATGTGGGCTTCTGCTTGGATTCACGTTGGACTAAATTGGCAGATGCTCCTCCCAGGTGACTGCAGACCCTGATGTAATGTAATAATAAGGGAAAGAATACAAATAAATCGGTCTCTATGGCTTCGTGAACTCAGATTGGGTGAAAAGTGATGACCCAGAGCTGTTGCTGGCTGAGGAGAACATGCGATTTTGTGTTTTTGGTCCTGAGCTTAAAGGGGATGTCACATGAAGAAGCGTTAGAGTAGTTTTTATCTTGTCACTTACAAATTGAAACCTCCCAGTGTTTTGACTACTTCATTCACTTTATCCGGTCAGGAAAACACCATCTTCACTGTTATTCAGAAATCTATCCATCTATTTTATTCAACTTTATCTGTTGCCAGGTCGCGGTGATTATTCTACGAGCTGGACAACCTCTAGAGCAGACAGCACACAGTCCTCTTTCAGAGCAGAGCACCTCTCTCTGGTCTCTCTCACTGGTTTCTCTCTCTGGTCTCTCTCTGGTCTCTCTCTTGTCTCTCTCTGGTCTCTTTCTCTGGTGTCTTTCTTTGGTCTCACAGCTCACAGTCCTCTTTCAAAGCGGAGCACCTTGTTTAGAGCTCTTCTTTCTTTGGCTGTGATGTCACCGAACTATAGACAACAACCTTCTATAGTCTGATTGTTTTACTAAAAGTCCAAACAAAGGCCATAACGACTCTTTCTTATTTGCTAAATGTTCTAAATGATTGGCTGCATGTGGAGCTCATCACTATTAGCTGTGTCTATTTATAAACCTTGTTTGGTTTAATGCGATAATGAGAAGCGATAAAAGGTGTGTTTTACCGCTTCTCATTATCTCACAACAAAAGTAATGACATCGAAATCACCACGTTATAGCAGCCATTTCCCGACAATGGTTGCGTGTGAGTGAGTGTATGTGGGTGTGTATGTGTGTGTTTGCGGGCGTGCGTGTTTGTGTGTTTACGTGAGTTGACACACATACTGTATAATTTACTCTGATAAACTTTTGCCTTTAACCACTATTGTGTAAGAACTGAACTATACAAATCAATTTAATTCAATGTAACCACAAGAGTAGTTATTGCAGGGGACTTTACAAAACCGTTGAATTCACCAACACAGATCAGAGAATCAAACACAAGAAATAGAACAGAAAACACATTGGTATTGGTACATAAGGGGCAAGTGATGTCCATAAATGTTGTTGAATGTTGGATGTCCAGGATCATCACCACTGTCCTCTTAGTTTGTCCCTTACAACACTCTAACACACCCTCCTCCATCATCTAAACCCAGTCTAAAAAGTCTAAACCCAGTGGGAAAAATTGAGAAACCTTGAAGAGGTCCACATTGAGATTTTTTTATACAAATTTACTTGCTTTACTTTATTGAGCCAACATTGACCAAACCCAGGATTAACTGTAGAATATGTTGAACATTTGTCAGATGGAGACACAGCTCTCACGTGATCCAGGGACATCCACTAGAATGTGTTGATCAAACAGAGGACCACAGCTGCTGCTGTGACCACTGTGTCCATGTGGAGTTAATGGAGCAGTCAGAAAGACTGTTTGATCAGAAATAGACCTGTGCATGTAAAGCACACAGGCCATGTACTGTGTGTGACATCACCGTAATGTTATCTGTAATAAATATGCAAGCTGGAGCTAATGTCCTTATATTTCCATTCCAATATTTTATTTGTCTAATACAGGCGCCTCAATTTCTGATATTGTGTCTTGAACAGGGTTCATTTTGGTCGGGGGCCAAATTCAAAAAGGTAAGAGCTGGTTGGGGCCAACAATATAAAAGTGGTTTTCTTTTATAATCATTATTTCTTTATACATATTTTTGTATTACACAATTATCTGACATTGGTTTGGAAATGGTTTTTTATGCCAAATATCAACTAAATAAATAAAACTTCTTTAGCTAAACTAAACTTCTATTTAATTCAAATTTTAGATTAAATGATTATGGTCGTATTACTGAGACGATAAGCTTAAAAATGAAGTATAACTTGTCATAGTATTACCGTCAATGCTGCAAGTTACCGTACTAATGATAATTGAAAATCATTTCAGGGGCCACTAAAAAGGGTCTTGCATTTGGCCCACGGGCCTGAGTTTGACATGCCTGTTCTAAAACAATGTAACAGAAGAAACGACTTAAACAGTCAAAATAAACAAAACTCTTTTGTTTTTGTTTTCATTAAAGTCTGATGTTTACCTCTACACCGCCCCCGGGAAGAAAAAAAATTCAGAGCCTCTAGGGAAAAAATTCTATGTTTGGAATAGAGAAACGAAATTCGGAACACTGAAAGATCTATATGAGACAAGCGTAAAAGCCAGTTAGAGTATCCCTCTGTGACCAACAGGAAGCCAGCCAAGATAGGCGAAAGTTTTGCCGCCAATTTGACTTTTAATTTTTGGGTCCAAACTAGTCTTTGGTTTTTCTTAATACATACTGTACTCCTACCATGTCATTTATATATTTATATAATCCTTTCAAAAAAGTTTTTATGCGAGGCAGTGGGAAATTTTTGATGCTCTCTTGGCCACAGGCTCAGACCTAGAGTTGAGCATTATTTAGGAAACTTGTATAAACATCTGGTGAACTCCATCTCAGCCACAGTCAAACTCAAGACGATCCTTGTGCACCTGAATTCAAGTGTTGTTATAACTAAAACGTGGAAGTGATGCGTGCATAGAGCCCATTTGGAAACCCTGCTCCCCACTGACCTGGGATCAGAGGCGCTGTCTACTGGAGAGGAGTGTGAATTACACCAGAGCAGAGCTACAGTTGGACCAGCAAGACCTGTGGCGAAAGTACTAATACTACTTGAACTTGTACATATTTTGCCTTGAGTACAACCACAAATATATTTTTTTTAAATTTCAGATTATTTGAAAGTGAAAGCAAAGTGATTCATAATGTTACAATAAAAACTATAAAGTGGAATGAGGCTCTTTTAACTGATGAGACCACATTTTTTATGGCACACAAGAAAACCATAGACTGTAACACTGCTTTGTTTTTATTATCTTTCATATCTTATTTCAAAGGATAAAAAAGCATCCATTGTATTTGTGGATGGGGATTGTTCTCTGTACAATTTGTAGTACCATATTGTCCATACTATTGGAAGAATACCTCTGCTAAATTATTATAAAATACAATAGAAACTTGATAGCAATATAATTAAAAATAAATAGAAATGGTGGTGAAAGAATTTATTCATATGATCTTTGTCACAACATGAATATATAATTACACTTGCATCTGGTAGTAGATGCAGTGCTATGTATTCAATGGATTTATGAAATTCATTACAAATGGTCAAAAATGAATGTATATACATAAATCACTAGTTTATATTCCACACATTTCATACCAATACAGTATAAATAAGATGCATTCCTCCTTCAGCAGAACGTTAAATGGTTTAATGTGAACCATGACTGAGAAAAAGTGGGCGGCACGGTGGCTGAGTGGATAGCACTCTCGCCTCTCAGCAAGAAGGTCCTGGGTTCGAATCCCGGTCGGACCAGGGCCTTTCTGAGTGGAGTTTGCATGTTCTCCCCGTGTCTGCGTACGTTTCCTCCGGGTGCTCCGGTTTCCCCTACCACTAAAAATATGTCCAATAGGCATGTCTGGCATGCGCCTCCTGTACCGGCGACCCCGCTCCCATCTCTGTGTGGAGTGAGAGATAAATGCCCATAATTAACAATTGTAAACCCGCTTTGAGACTCAGATCTGCAGTGAAAAGGCGGTATATAAATAAAGATTACTTACTTACTTACTTAATTATGTCAAGGAAAAAAGTTTAATTTCTCAATTTTTGTGACGACGACAGAAGGATCCAGGTCGATAAGCTGATCTTTCAAAAACTGTAAGAGATTAGAGTTAGTTTTACTAAATAAATCCCTATTTGCACAGGATTACCTGGGGACCTCTGGTAATTTCCAATAAATGCGGAGGACATCTGAGATGTTAGTCCTGTGCGAATGTGTCGTGTCTGTAATTTGTAAATAATTCCACCCCAAATGACCTCCTGTATTTGCCCAAACACAGACGTCCAGTGATTGTGTTTGCCGCCATCTCTATAGAATCAATCAGTTGTTTTTTGTCAATATCTTGGAGGCTGCAGTGGAAATGCTGATTCACAGTTTTGAAGCTTTTTTGCAGCAAACTATAAAGATGCTCGTACGCATCGTAAAAGCAGCGAGTGACGAGTGCCTCTTTTCAGGAGAGAGCCTTGTCTCGCAGGTCTCCTCTAAAGTTTAAATACAAGTGATGTGTGTGCGGAGTTGATCTAATGTCAAGGACCATCAGCACAAACATGTTTCCATGTGTTTTGACTGTGACTCTTCATTGCGAGGATCCTTTGGGCTGTGTGAAGTGGAGAGACTCGCACACAGGACCTCTATGTGTCTGTTATTACTGTATGTCAGTGGAAATATAGCCATTTACAGACATTGCTTATCCCGTGTGAATGCTCTGTTAGATATCAGACGTCCTTTGCGATTATCACAAATTACCAGAGGTTCACAGGTAATACTAATCCTGTGCGAATAGAGCTTTAGAGCCATATCCATGAAAAAGGGAGCTATAATTTTACCTGCTGAATTAATGTAGTAATTGTTTCCTTGCTGATGCTTCCAGACGCTGTAATCCGCATTTGTAAGTGTGCAAGTAAGTTTTCACCTGAGAAGAAATAAACATTCAGAAAAATAAAAATAAACCACCACAAAAATATTATCCAAGCCATGAACATTATTTCATAAGGAATTAATTGCATTTTCATATATTTTTTTCCAAACAACTGAAAAATATTAACATACCTGTAGGTGGAGACGCTGTTATGTTGGTGGTTGGAGGTTCTGTTGTGGTGGTTTGAGGTGCCGTTGTGGTGGTGGTTGGAGGTGCTGTTGTGGTGGTGGTGGTTGGAGGTGCTGTTGTGGTGGTGGTTGGAGGTGTCGTTGTGGTGGTGGTTGGAGGTGCTGTTGTGGTGGTGCTTGTTGGAGGTGCTGTTGTGGTGGTGGTGGTTGGAGGTGCTGTTGTGGTGGTGGTTGGAGGTGCCGTTGTGGTGGTGGTTGGAGGTGCTGTTGTGGTGGTGGTTGGAGGTGCTGTTGTGGTGGTGCTTGTTGGAGGTGCTGTTGTGGTGGTGGTGGTTGGAGGTGCTGTTGTGGTGGTGGTGGTTGGAGGTGCTGTTATGGTGGTGGTGGTTGGAGGTGCTGTTGTGGTGGTGGTGGTTGGAGGTGCTGTTGTTGTGGTGGTGGTTGGAGGTGCTGTTGTGGGGTGGTGGTTGTTGGAGGTGCTGTTGTGGTGGTGGTTGTAGGTGCTGTTGTTGTGGTGGTGGTTGGAGGTGCTGTTGTGGTGGTGGTTGGAGGTGCCGTTGTGGTGGTGGTTGGAGGTGCTGTTGTAGTGGTGGTTGGAGGTGCTGTTGTGGTGGTGGTTGGAGGTGCTGTTGTGGTGGTGGTTGGAGGTGCTGTTGTGGTGGTGGTGGGTTGGAGGTGCTGTTGTGGTGGTGGTTGGAGGTGCTGTTGTGGTGGTGGTTGGAGGTGCTGTTGTGGTGGTGGTGGTTGGAGGTGCTGTTGTGGTGGTGGTGGTTGGAGGTGCTGTTGTGGTGGTGGTTGGAGGTGCGTTGTGGTGGTGGTTGGAGGTGCTGTTGTGGTGGTGGTTGTTGGAGGTGCTGTTGTGGGTGGTGGTTGGAGGTGCCCGTTGTGGTGGTGGTTGGAGGTGCTGTTGTGGTGGTGCTTGTTGGAGGTGCTGTTGTGGTGGTGGTGGTTGGAGGTGCTGCTGTGTGTGGTGGTTGGAGGTGCTGTTGTGGTCGTAGTTGGAGGTGCTGTTGTGGTCGTAGTTGGAGGTGCTGTTGTGGTGGTTGGAGGTGCTGTTGTGGTCGTAGTTGGAGGTGCTGTTGTGGTGGTGGTGGTTGGAGGTGATGTTGTGGTGGTGGTGGTTGGAGGTGCTGTTGTGGTGGTGGTTGTTGGAGGTGCTGTTGTGGTGGTGGTTGGAGGTGCCGTTGTGGTGGTGGTTGGAGGTGCTGTTGTGGTGGTGCTTGTTGGAGGTGCTGTTGTGGTGGTGGTTGGAGGTGCTGTTGTGGTGGTAGTGGTTGGAGGTGGTGTTGTGGTGGTGGTTGGAGGTGCTGTTGTTGTGGTGGTGGTTGGAGGTGCTGTTGTGGTGGTGGTTGGAGGTGCTGTTGTTGTGGTGGTGGTTGGAGGTGCTGTTGTGGTGGTGGTTGTTGGAGGTGCTGTTGTGGTGGTGGTTGGAGGTGCTGTTGTGGTGGTGGTTGGAGGTGCCGTTGTGGTGGTGGTTGGAGGTGCCGTTGTGGTGGTGGTGGTTGGAGGTGCTGTTGTGGTGGTGGTGGGTTGGAGGTGCTGTTGTGGTGGTGGTTGGAGGTGCTGTTGTGGTGGTGGTTGGAGGTGCTGTTGTGGTGGTGGTTGGAGGTGCCGTTGTGGTGGTGGTTGGAGGTGCTGTTGTGGTGGTGGTTGGAGGTGCTGTTGTTGTGGTGGTGGTTGGAGGTGCTGTTGTGGTGGTGGTTGGAGGTGCTGTTGTGGTGGTGGTGGTTGGAGGTGCTGTTGTGGCGGTGGTTGGAGGTGCTGTTGTGGTGGTGGTTGGAGGTGCTGTTGTGGTGGTGGTTGGAGGTGCCGTTGTGGTGGTGCTTGTTGGAGGTGCTGTTGTGGTGGTGGTTGTTGGAGGTGCTGTTGTGGTGGTGGTTGGAGGTGCCGTTGTGGTCGTAGTTGGAGGTGCTGTTGTGGTCGTAGTTGGAGGTGCTGTTGTGGTGGTGGTGGTTGGAGGTGCTGTTGTGGTGGTGGTGGTTGGAGGTGCTGTTGTGGTGGTGGTGGTTGGAGGTGCTGTTGTGGTGGTGGTTGTTGGAGGTGCTGTTGTGGTGGTGGTTGGAGGTGCCGTTGTGGTGGTGGTGGTTGGAGGTGCTGTTGTGGTGGTGCTTGTTGGAGGTGCTGTTGTGGTGGTGGTGGTTGGAGGTGCTGTTGTGGTGGTGGTTGGAGGTGCTGTTGTGGTGGTAGTTGGAGGTGCTGTTGTGGTGGTGGTTGGAGGTGCTGTTGTGGTCGTAGTTGGAGGTGCTGTTGTGGTCGTAGTTGGAGGTGCTGTTGTGGTGGTGGTGGTTGGAGGTGCTGTTGTGGTCGTAGTTGGAGGTGCTGTTGTGGTGGTGGTGGTTGGAGGTGATGTTGTGGTGGTGGTGGTTGGAGGTGCTGTTGTGGTGGTGATTGTTGGAGGTGCTGTTGTGGTGGTAGTTGGAGGTGCTGTTGTGGTGGTGGTTGGAGGTGCTGTTGTGGTCGTAGTTGGAGGTGCTGTTGTGGTCGTAGTTGGAGGTGCTGTTGTGGTGGTGGTGGTTGGAGGTGCTGTTGTGGTCGTAGTTGGAGGTGCTGTTGTGGTGGTTGGAGGTGATGTTGTGGTGGTGGTGGTTGGAGGTGCTGTTGTGGTGGTGATTGTTGGAGGTGCTGTTGTGGTGGTGGTTGGAGGTGCTGTTGTGGTGGTGGTGGTTGGAGGTGCTGTTGTGGTGGTGGTGGTTGGAGGTGCTGTTGTGGTGGTGGTGGTTGGAGGTGCTGTTGTTGTGGTGGTGCTTGTTGGAGGTGCTGTTGTGGTGGTGGTGGTTGGAGGTGCTGTTGTGGTGGTGGTGGTTGGAGGTGCTGTTGTGGTGGTGGTGGTTGGAGGTGCTGTTGTGGTGGTGGTTGGAGGTGCCGTTGTGGTGGTGGTTGGAGGTGCTGTTGTGGTGGTGCTTGTTGGAGGTGCTGTTGTGGTGGTGGTGGTTGGAGGTGCTGTTGTGGTGGTAGTGGTTGGAGGTGCTGTTGTGGTGGTAGTTGGAGGTGCTGTTGTGGTGGTAGTTGGAGGTGCTGTTGTGGTCGTAGTTGGAGGTGCTGTTGTGGTCGTAGTTGGAGGTGCTGTTGTGGTCGTAGTTGGAGGTGCTGTTGTGGTGGTGGTGGTTGGAGGTGCTGTTGTGGTCGTAGTTGGAGGTGCTGTTGTGGTGGTCGTAGTTGGAGGATCTGTTGTGGTCGTAGTTGGAGGTGCTGTTGTGGTGGTAGTTGGAGGTGCTGTTGTGGTGGTGGTGGTTGGAGGTGCTGTTGTGGTGGTGGTTGGAGGTGCTGTTGTGGTGGTGGTAGTTGGAGGTGCTGTTGTGGTGGTGGTGGTTGGAGGTGCTGTTGTGGTGGTGGTGGTTGGAGGTGCTGTTGTGGTGGTCGGAGGTGCTGTTGTGGTGGTGGTGGTTGGAGGTGCTGTTGTGGTCGTAGTTGGAGGTGCTGTTGTGGTTGTAGTTGGAGGTGCTGTTGTTGTGGTGGTGGTTGGAGGTGCTGTGGCTGTTGAGGTTAAAGTTAATGTCATATCATTAATTAGCTAAATTAAATTAGAAGTTTAAATGGCAGCCCAGAGAACAAAGACCCAACCATTTTTCCTTTTTCATCTCCTACCGCTGCCTCGCTAAATATCGTTCCAATTATTTGCTCACAGTAATTTATTATCTATATTTCATTTTTAACATTTGATATTTATTTACTAATTAGGGGTGGGCGATATGGGAAAAAATAAATATCTCAATATTTTTTCCCCAACTCACGATAAAGATATTCTCACGTTATCTTTCAAATCAATCATTTTTGCACAAAATGATCTGCAATATTTTTCTTATCAGGGCATCTATAGACAGAAAGTGTAGATCAAAATAGCAGCTTATTGATTGACTGCGGAACCTTCCGCAGTCAACCATTGGTTTTCACGTTCTTTATTATTATTCCGTCTTTTTCCTGATTTTTGACACGTTTCACAGCTTTCACATTTTCAACAATTTCCACAAGTTATACATCAAAACGTTCCACATGTTTGGGAGATTATTGCTATTACTTTTGGGACTTCAGCGATTTCCGGTTTTTCCGCAATCGGACAAAAATCGGTCGATTTTTCCCATTGACTTATAATGGGGCCTCCACAAATTCATAGTTTTCAGAATTTTCTTCAACATTTTCAGCATTTTCTGCAGTTTGTGCATGTTCAGCTTCCACAACTTGTGAGTTTTCAGAAAAAACTAGAAACTTGCAATGGCTGAAGCCATTGCGATTGACTGCGGAACAGATCTAATGTGGAAATCTGCTAAAAAAAATCCTTGAAATCCTTTAAAAGGCCTTGAAACTGTTAAAATACTTGATAGATATTTGAAACTCCTGAAGTCCTTGAAATTGTTGAAACCTTTAAACTCCTGAAATCCTTGAAACTGTTGAAACATTGAAACTCCTGAAATCCTTGAAACTTTTTTAAACCTGGAAACTGTTGAAAGTGTGGAAACTCCTGAAATCCTTGAACCTCCTGATATCCTTGAAACTGGTTAAATTCTTAAACAGTTGAAATCCTTGAAACTACTGAATGTATTGAAAGTGTCCTTGAAACTGAAAAATCCCCTCACCGCTGAAACAATTTGGTTCCTGTAACTAAGGAAACCTGGTCTGTGGTCATTATCTGGTGGTGGTCTGAGTCTTCGTTTGGGTCTTGGTCTGGTGGTATAATGCAACCTATTAGGTTGCATTATACTGGTTTACATGGAAAAATCCCTATTAGGTTGCATTATACTGGTTTACATGGAAAAATCCCTATTAGGTTGCATTATACTGGTTTACATGGAAAAATCCCTATTAAGTTGCATTATACTGGTTTACATGGAAAAATCTCTATTAAGTTGCATTATACTGGTTTACATGGAAAAATCCCTATTAGGTTGCATTATACTGGTTTACATGTACAAATCCCTATTAAGTTGCTTTATACTGGTTTACATGTAAAAACCCCTATTAGGTTACATTATAGTGGTTTACATGTAAAAATCCTTATTAAGTTGCATTATACTGGTTTACATGTAAAAACCCCTATTAAGTTCCATTATACTGGTTTACATGTAAAAACCCTATTAAGTTGCATTATACTGGTTTACATGAAAAAAACCCTATTAAGTTGCATTATACTGGTTTACATGGAAAAATCCCTATTAAGTTGCATAATACTGGTTTACATGGAAAAATCCCCATTAAGTTGCATTATACTGGTTTACATGAAAAAAACCCCATTAAGTTGCATTATACTGGTTTACATGGAAAAATCCCTATTAAGTTGCATTATACTGGTTTACATGGAAAAATCCCTATTAAGTTGCATAATACTGGTTTACATGGAAAAATCCCCATTAAGTTGCATTATACTGGTTTACATGTAAAAAACCCTATTAAGTTGCATTATACTGGTTTACATGGAAAAATCCCTATTAAGTTGCATTATACTGGTTTACATGAAAAAAACCCTATTAAGTTGCATTATACTGGTTTACATGGAAAAATCCCTATTAAGTTGCATTGTACTGGTTTACATGGAAAAATCCCTATTAAGTTGCATTATACTGGTTTACATGAAAAAAACCCTATTAAGTTGCATTATACTGGTTTACATGTAAAAACCCCTATTAAGTTGCATTATACTGGTTTACATGGAAAAATCCCTATTAAGTTGCATTATACTGGTTTACATGGAAAAATCCCTATTAAGTTGCATTATACTGGTTTACATGGAAAAATCCCTATTAAGTTGCATTATACTGGTTTACATGGAAAAATCCCTATTAAGTTGCATTATACTGGTTTACATGGAAAAATCCCTATTAAGTTGCATTATACTGGTTTACATGGAAAAATCCCTATTAGGTTGCATTATACTGGTTTACATGTACAAATCCCTATTAAGTTGCTTTATACTGGTTTACATGTAAAAACCCCTATTAGGTTACATTATAGTGGTTTACATGTAAAAATCCTTATTAAGTTGCATTATACTGGTTTACATGTAAAAACCCCTATTAAGTTCCATTATACTGGTTTACATGTAAAAACCCCTATTAAGTTCCATTATACTGGTTTACATGTAAAAACCCTATTAAGTTGCATTATACTGGTTTACATGAAAAAAACCCTATTAAGTTGCATTATACTGGTTTACATGGAAAAATCCCTATTAAGTTGCATAATACTGGTTTACATGGAAAAAATCCCCATTAAGTTGCATTATACTGGTTTACATGGAAAAATCCCTATTAAGTTGCATTATACTGGTTTACATGGAAAAATCCCTATTAAGTTGCATAATACTGGTTTACATGGAAAAATCCCCATTAAGTTGCATTATACTGGTTTACATGGAAAAATCCCCATTAAGTTGCATTATACTGGTTTACATGGAAAAATCCCTATTAAGTTGCATTGTACTGGTTTACATGGAAAAAACCCTATTAAGTTGCATTATACTGGTTTACATGGAAAAAACCCTATTAAGTTGCATTATACTGGTTTACATGTAAAAACCCCTATTAAGTTGCATTATACTGGTTTACATGGAAAAATCCCCATTAAGTTGCATTATACTGGTTTACATGAAAAAAAAACCCTATTAAGTTGCATTATACTGGTTTACATGAAAAAACCCTATTAAGTTGCATTATACTGGTTTACATGGAAAAATCCCTATTAAGTTGCATTATACTGGTTTACATGGAAAAATCCCTATTAGGTTGCATGATTACACTGAAGTCCTTGAAACTGCTGAAGTCCTTGAAACTGCTGAAGTCCTTGAAACTGCTGAAGTCCTTGAAACTGTTGAAGTCCTTGAAACTCTTGAAATCTTGAAACTGCTGAAATCCTTGAAACTGTTGAATCCTTGAAACTGTTGAATCATTGAAACTGTAGAAATGTCTGAAAGAGCTGAAGTCCTATTAAAATGCATGGGCCTATTAAAATGCATTGCAGAATTCTCAATGCAGATTTTTGTCCGATTGCGGAAAAACCGGAAATCGCTGAAGTCCCAAAAGTAATAGCAATAATCTCCCAAACATGTGGAACGTTTTGATGTATAACTTGTGGAAATTGTTGAAAATGTGAAAGCTGTGAAACGTGTCAAAAAAAATGACGGAATAAAGAAATACAAAACCAATGGTTGACTGCGGAAAGTTCCGCAGTCAATCAATTAGAGTTCTGCAGTTTTCCAGTTTTTTTCTACGGGCTTGGAAATTCTGCCATTAATTTGCATTGAGAATTCTGCAATGCATTTTAATAGGCCCATGCATTTTAATAGGACTTCAGCTCTTTCAGACATTTCTACAGTTTCAATGATTCAACAGTTTCAAGGATTCAACAGTTTCAAGGATTCAACAGTTTCAAGGACTTCAGTTTCAAGGACTTCAGCAGTTTCAAGGACTTCAGCAGTTTCAAGGACTTCAGCAGTTTCAAGGACATCAACAGTTTCAAGGACTTCAGCAGTTTCAAGGTTTCCACAGTTTCAAGGTTTCAACAATTTCAAGGTTTCAACAGTTTCAAGGTTTCAACAGTTTCAAGGTTTCAACAGTTTCAAGGACTTCAACAGTTTCAAGGTTTCAACAGTTTCAAGGTTTCAACAGTTTCAAGGACTTCAGTGTAATCATGCAACCTAATAGGGATTTTTCCATGTAAACCAGTATAATGCAACTTAATAGGGATTTTTCCATGTAAACCAGTATAATGCAACTTAATAGGGATTTTTCCATGTAAACCAGTATAATGCAACTTAATAGGGTTTTTTCATGTAAACCAGTATAATGCAACTTAATAGGGTTTTTTTCATGTAAACCAGTATAATGCAACTTAATGGGGATTTTTCCATGTAAACCAGTATAATGCAACTTAATAGGGGTTTTTACATGTAAACCAGTATAATGCAACTTAATAGGGTTTTTTCCATGTAAACCAGTATTATGCAACTTAATAGGGATTTTTCCATGTAAACCAGTACAATGCAACTTAATAGGGATTTTTCCATGTAAACCAGTATAATGCAACTTAATAGGGTTTTTTTCATGTAAACCAGTATAATGCAACTTAATGGGGATTTTTCCATGTAAACCAGTATTATGCAACTTAATAGGGATTTTTCCATGTAAACCAGTATAATGCAACTTAATAGGGTTTTTTTCATGTAAACCAGTATAATGCAACTTAATAGGGTTTTTTTCATGTAAACCAGTATAATGCAACTTAATGGGGATTTTTCCATGTAAACCAGTATAATGCAACTTAATAGGGTTTTTTTTACATGTAAACCAGTATAATGGAACTTAATAGGGTTTTTTCCATGTAAACCAGTATAATGCAACTTAATAGGGATTTTTCCATGTAAACCAGTATAATGCAACTTAATAGGGATTTTTCCATGTAAACCAGTATAATGCAACTTAATAGGGTTTTTTTCATGTAAACCAGTATAATGCAACTTAATGGGGATTTTTCCATGTAAACCAGTATTATGCAACTTAATAGGGATTTTTTTCCATGTAAACCAGTATAATGGAACTTAATAGGGTTTTTTCCATGTAAACCAGTATAATGCAACTTAATAGGGTTTTTACATGTAAACCAGTATAAAGCAACTTAATAGGGATTTTTCCATGTAAACCAGTATAATGCAACTTAATAGGGTTTTTTTCATGTAAACCAGTATAATGCAACTTAATGGGGATTTTTCATGTAAACCAGTATTATGCAACTTAATAGGGATTTTTTCCATGTAAACCAGTATAATGCAACTTAATAGGGTTTTTTTCATGTAAACCAGTATAATGCAACTTAATAGGGTTTTTACATGTAAACCAGTATAATGGAACTTAATAGGGGTTTTTACATGTAAACCAGTATAATGGAACTTAATAGGGATTTTTCCATGTAAACCAGTATAATGCAACTTAATAGGGATTTTTCCATGTAAACCAGTATAATGCAACTTAATAGGGTTTTTTTCATGTAAACCAGTATAATGCAACTTAATAGGGTTTTTACATGTAAACCAGTATAATGGAACTTAATAGGGGTTTTTACATGTAAACCAGTATAATGGAACTTAATAGGGGTTGTGACGGCCCCTCTACTGGTGTTGTGGCAGTTTACTGTTGTGGCTGTCTTAAAAGGTGTGGACCGTAGGAGGCGCCCGGGAATCCTTGGAGCTGTGGACCGGATGGCTATAAAGGGGCATCCGCTGCGCTCACTCTGTCTCTCTCATCTGCGGCTCCTGGGCTTACGCCGGAGGCCGGGCTGCTGCCTTTGACGGTTATCATCCACCATCCTGGGTCCAGCCAACGCCAACGCCACGCTAATCTTTATTATTTATTTCTTTGCACCCACGCACCTCAGCACCACACATGCATTACGCCCGTTGTCAAACTGATACTCATTCGCACTACACCCGTTTGCACCAACAGCACATGATCCACGTACACTGATGACATGCAGACGCTTTAATTTTTGAGAAATAAACGCCCAGCACGGGCTTAAACTCCGTGTGTGTCCTGCCCACCTTCTTTGTTGCGGCCTCACGAGCCGGGGTCGTAACAAATGGGGGCTCGTCTAAAAAAAGTTTTGGTTCATGTTTTTGTTCCCATGCGCGTTGAATATTGACCTACTTTTGTGAATGATCAGTGACGTCAGCATCGGAGGGGAGGCCGGTGCTGCGTGTGTGTAGGGAGTGTGGGAGGACACGACGACGTGTGTTTGGAGGTTTTTGTTGCTCCTCTCGTCGGGACATGCAGGTGAGTGAAGTGTTTTGTTCTAGTTGTGCATGTGGGTTCTGTTTTGCGGCCCTGTCTCCTGCAGGCTAGTGGTGTCGCTGCATGATGCGTCGCCTGTTTGTTTTTTTGTAGTGTCACGGGGCTGGCGGTTAGTGTTGGCTGTTTACTCAGTCATCTCGGGGGCACTCCGTGGCTTGTCCGCTGGTTTCGTGCATTAATCAACCCACCGCCCAACCGTGTGAAGAGCTAGAGGGGAGTTAGTTAGGTGAGTTTGGGCGTAGGTAAAGCGTAGAGGGGACAGTGGTTGTTTCGAGCCCATCGTGGTGCACTTTAACTGGTGGTTACACTTCGTCTCGCAGTGTATGGTCCCGAGGTGTTTTTTTGTGTGTGTGTGGCTGTTTCTGGTTTTTGACCGAGGATGGGTTTTGACTTGGGAGATTTTGTGGCTGAGCCTTCGGTGGGTCAGCTTGACGGCTGTACGAAAAATTATTTGTTGGAGGTTGCTGCGCATTATAAAATCAATGTGTCAAAACAAGACAAGAAGAAGGTCATTAGACGACAAATACACGACAGGCTAGCTGAACGTGATATCCTTCCTCCGGGCGAGGCGGTATCGGATGCGGAGGTCCGAAAGATGGAATTGCAGTTGGAGATGCGACGTTTGGAGTGTAGGGAACATGAACAGCAGCGTGATTTTGAATTGCGCAAGTTGGAGTTGGAGGCAGATTTGAGGAGGCGTGAGTCGTCACAGAGTGTGTATAGTCAGCGTAGTAATCTAGTTGAAGCCGAGTTTGATGTAAATAAATGTATTCGGTTAATCCCACCGTTTACGGGAAGGGACGTGGATAAATATTTTGTCTTGTTTGAGCGCGTGGCGACGACGTTGGGTTGGCCTTGGAATGTTTGGCCTTTACTACTGCAATGTGTATTTACGGGCAAGGCTCAGGAGGCTTATGCATCATTGTCGCCTGAGGATAGTTTACTGTATGAGAAGGTGAAGAGTGCAGTAGAGCGGGCGTATGAGCTGGTGCCCGAGGCTTATCGCCAGAAGTACCGCCGTTACAGGAAAGCCGATCACCAGAGTTATGTGGAGTTTGGGCGTGAGAAAACTGCACTGTTTGACAGGTGGTGTGCGGCGCAGAACGTTAAAACCTTTGATCAGTTGCGTGACATAATTTTGATGGAGGAGTTCAAGAACTGTTTGTCGGAGAGGATTGCAACTTATATTAATGAACAAAAGACTATGAATGTGTCGGATGCTGCTGTATTGGCGGACGAGTACGTGCTTACTCACAAAGAGTATTCAGGGCGTGTGGGTCCGGGCCATCAGTTTGGCCCGAATAGGCAACGAGAGGGTCATGTTGAGAGTGCTAATCGACAAACTGCTGATCGTGTTTGTTACTACTGCAATAAGCCAGGGCATTTAAAGGCAGACTGTCTATCGCTGAAAAATAAGTACAGGTCAGGTTACGCTAATCCGAAGGGAGCGGGGTTGGCTGCGCCTGTCCTGGTTACTGTAAAACCGGAGGTGACGACGGTTGGGGTGGAAGTGTTGGGTTCGTACCTTCCTTTCATTCGTGAGGGTTACGTCTCGCTAGTGGGCAGTGACCAGAAGGTGTGCGTTAAGATCTTGAGAGACACGGGGGCGTTTGACTCATTCATCCGGGCCGATGTGTTGCCGTGGTCGCGTGAGTCGGAGACTGGTACATGTGTTCCGGTTCGCGGAATGGGGTTGAACGTGCTCTTTGTTCCGTTGCGTAAAGTGTCTCTGGATTGTGAGTTATTTAGTGGGGAAGCTGCGTTGGCTGTGCGTCCTGCGTTGCCGATGGAGGGGGTTTCGGTGATTTTGGGTAACGGGTTGGCGGGGGCGCGTTTGTGGTCGGACGCTGCCCCGTTGACTGTGCCTGTTGAATCGGAGCCGCCGCCATGGGCATTATCCCAGGCAGATGCCAGTGGCAAGGAGCTTCCAGACGTGTTTACAGCGTGCGCCGTGACGCGGGCTATGGCGCGTGCTCAGGGGGGTGGGGGCGAGGTTGGTTGTAAGAAGGTGCACCTACCTTTGTCTAACTTTCCTTTGTCTCTGTCTCGTAGTGAGCTGGTAGCGGAGCAGCAAGCTGACACGTCTTTAAAAGAGCTTTTTGGGCAGGTGCTTCCGGCGAGCGAGGCAGTGGATTCCGCATGTGGGTACTTCCTTGAGAATTCATTATTGGTGAGAAAATGGATGCCACATGCCGATGCTGTTGGCGAGCCGGTATTTCAGATTGTCGTGCCCAGTAAGTTTCGTTCTGCAGTGTTAAATGTTGCGCATGATGAGGCCGGACATTCTGGCGTGAGGAAAACATATGATCGGGTCCTGAGACATTTTTTTTGGCCGCGCCTTAAAAAAGATATTGCTGCTCATGTTAAGACGTGTCACATTTGTCAGCTAACTGCCAAGCCTAATCAGGTGTTGAAGCCGTTCCCGTTGAGTCCGATTGTGGCGGCTTCCGAGCCATTCGAGCACTTAGTTATCGACTGTGTGGGCCCGTTACCTCGTTCAAAAGCTGGCTCTTTCTATCTGCTGACAGTAATGTGTCAGGTGACGCGGTATCCAGCCGCTTATCCGTTGCGTACAATAACTGCCAGGGCCGTGGTGCGCGCACTTACCCAGTTCATTTCGGTGTTTGGCATTCCCAAGGTAATCCAGTCGGACCAGGGCACTAATTTTTCATCTCATTTGTTTGCCCAGGTCCTTAAGCAGCTCGGAGTGCGACACAGTAAAGCGACTGCGTACCATCCGGAGAGTCAGGGGGCATTGGAACGCTTTCATCAGTCGCTTAAGTCTCTGTTGCGCGCTTACTGTACAGAGTTGGGTGGAGACTGGGAGGAGGGGTTGCCTTGGCTGATGTTGGCGGCCAGGGAGGTGACACAGGAGAGCACAGGGTTTTGCCCGAATGAGCTGGTTTTTGCGCACACCGTGAAAGGTCCTTTGGCAACCGTGGCGGATAAGTTTAAGGAGCCAGCACCTCCGCAAAATCTAGTGGACTATGTGTCTGGCTTCAGGAGACGGTTGTACATGGCGCGGGAGTTAGACTGACTGAAGCGCAGAGAAAAATGAAGGCGCTGTTCGATCGGCGGTCGGAGGCGCGCACGTTTTTGCCTGGGGATCAGGTGTTAGCCTTATGTCCTGTGGTGACTTCTCCCTTTCAGGCGAAGTTTACTGGTCCGTATACAGTTCTTGAACGTACTTCTGATCAAAATTATGTTATCTCCGTGCCTGAGCGCAGGAAGAAGACACAGCTGTGTCATGTGAACCTGTTGAAACCGTATGTGGTTCGGGAAGCTGACGTGGGGCGGCCTGAGCTCTGTCGGGGTAATGCTGCGTGTGCTGGGGATAGACCTGTCCAGGGGGTTGAAGGTTTGGGGACTGTGGTCAGCTCACCGTTTTCTGTGGGGGATGATAGTGTCACTGGTACCTTGGACAGCGCCCTCGCACAAGGGCGTCTTAGGAATTCGGAGGTTCTTCGTCAGTTAGATTTCTTGTTTGGGCATTTGCCAGAGGACGATGCAAGACGGTTAACTGCATTACTATCTCGCTTTTCCTGTTTATTTTCTGACACGCCGGGTCGTACGCATCTGATTGAGCATGATGTGGATGTAGGAGACTCTCAGCCGATTAGGCAACGTTTCTACCGGGTGAATTTTGAAAAACGCAAGTATTTGGACGCGGAAGTGAAGTACATGCTGGAGAATGGGATTGCGGAGCCCAGTACTTCCAGTTGGGCGTCGCCGTGCATTCTGGTGCCTAAATCGGATGGCACTCCTAGGTTTTGTTCTGATTTTCGTAAGCTGAACGCCGTGACTAAACCGGATTGTTTTCCTTTGCCTAGGATGGATGATTGTGTTGATCAAGTGGGCTCAGCCAAGTTTGTCAGTAAGTTTGACCTCCTGAAGGGGTACTGGCAGGTGCCGCTGATGGAGCGTGCGCGTGAGGTGTCTGCGTTTATTACGCCTACGGGGTTGTACTCTTACACTGTCATGCCGTTTGGGTTGAGGAATGCGCCGGCGACGTTCCAACGGTTGATGGGCCGGGTGGTTGGTGATATGCTGGGTTGTGCCGTTTATTTGGACGACGTGGTAGTGTACTCTGACACATGGGGGGACCACTTGGAGCGCATTGAGGAGCTTTTCGCGCGTTTGGCCGGGGCAGGGTTGACGGTTAACCTCGCCAAGTGTGAGTTCGCGAAGGCGACCGTTACGTACCTGGGTCGCGTGGTGGGCCAGGGGGAAGTTCGACCTGTGGCAGCTAAGGTCCAAGCGGTGGAGCAGTTTCCCATTCCGATTTCCAAGAAGGAGCTTATGCGGTTTCTGGGCCTCGTGGGGTATTACAGATGTTTCTGTCAAAACTTTTCCTCCGTTGTAGCGCCTTTAACTACCTTACTGCGCAAGGATGTGAAGTTCATCTGGTCTCCTATTTGTCAGCAGGCGTTCGACCGGGTGAAAAGACTCCTCTGTGCTGCTCCTGTGTTGGCGGCGCCGCGCCTTAACCAGGCCTTCCAGCTGTATGTGGATGCGAGCCATGTGGGAGCTGGGGCTGTGCTTACACAGGCGGATGAGTTGGGCATCTGTAGGCCGGTCAGTTACTTCTCAAAGAAATTTAATCGCCATCAGTTGAATTACTCAGTTATTGAGAAGGAAACGTTGGCTTTAATTTTGGCTTTGCAGCATTTCGACGTTTACGTATGTGGCAGCGCAAACGTTGTGGTGCATACAGACCATAATCCGCTTACCTTTTTGTCGTCGCTAAAATGTCCTAATCAGCGTCTGGTCCGCTGGTCGCTCTTCTTGCAGTCATACAGTCTTGACATTCGCTATATTAGGGGGAAGGAAAATGTGGTAGCTGACGCGTTGTCGCGCGCCCCGGTGTGTTAGTTTTGTTTGTGTTTTGTTTTCCCCTCCCCTCTTTCTCGCTTCTTCTGTCCTTAAATCGCTTCTGTGTGCACCAGTTGCCGGGCTGAGGAGTGGTCTGAGGAGGGGTGGATCTGGACACGGATGATCCTCTCTGGGCCTGAACATTTCCATATGGCCACAAGGGAAAAAAAAAAGGGTTTTTTGGTGGCTGGGTTTGCTGCACTGGGTGTGGTAACGACAAAAGGTGAGCCTTGCAGGTTGTCGCAGGGTTCCGCGGGGACCTGCTCCTTAAGGGAGGGGGTGTGACGGCCCCTCTACTGGTGTTGTGGCAGTTTACTGTTGTGGCTGTCTTAAAAGGTGTGGACCGTAGGAGGCGCCCGGGAATCCTTGGAGCTGTGGACCGGATGGCTATAAAGGGGCATCCGCTGCGCTCACTCTGTCTCTCTCATCTGCGGCTCCTGGGCTTACGCCGGAGGCCGGGCTGCTGCCTTTGACGGTTATCATCCACCATCCTGGGTCCAGCCAACGCCAACGCCATCGCCACGCTGATCTTTATTATTTGTTTCTTTGCACCCACGCACCTCAGCACCACACATGCACTACGTCCGTTGTCAAACTGATACTCGTTCGCACTACACCCGTTTGCACCCACAGCACATGATCCACGTACACTGATGACATGCAGACGCTCTAATTTTTGAGAAATAAACGCCCAGCACGGGCTTAAACTCCGTGTGTGTCCTGCCCACCTTCTTTGTTGCGGCCTCACGAGCCGGGGTCGTAACACAGCAGCTTTCAGGTCTTTCCTCAAATTCTAAATTGGATTTCGGGTCATTTTCCTGCTGAAAGGTAAATCTCTGCACCAGTCTCAGGTGTTTTGCTGACTCAAGTTCTCTTCCAAAATTAACCCTTATTAGGCTTCATCCATCTTCCCATTTAAAGTTTTTAATTAACTTACTGTATCTGATGAAAAAAACAGCTTCATAGCATGAAGCTCCTCCTACTGTATTTGACACAGGGATGGTGCACTGAGGGTGAGGCAGCTTTGCATAATTTTTTTTGGGCCACAATGTTCAATTTTGATGTCATCTCACCAAAGAACCTTCGTCCACATGTTAGCTGTGTCCTCAAAATGACTTTTAGCTAACTGCAAAAGGGATTTCTTACTTTAAACAATGGCTCTCTCCTTGCCACTTGTTCATAAACGGCAGATTTGTGTAGACTGACTGTATGCCCCTTATACAACCTGTACAACCTGCACAAGGGGCATACAGTTGTAACCCAGCTTAGCTGCAGAAGTTCAGGCATCTTTGTTCAGCTTCTTAGTTTAGACGGACAGCCGTGTCTTGGTTAGTTGGCTGTGGTGCCCTACTCTTTCAGAATAATGGATTAAACAATGCTTTGGGAGATATTCAAAGCTTGGGAAATCTTTAATGCTGCTTTAAACTTCTACACAACTTCATCCGTGACCTGTTTAGTAAGAATAAATTATACTGAGGGTAGATTACAGACAAGTGGGCTCTTTTTAATCGTTATTGCAAGATGTGAGCATTCAGCAGTCATTAGGACATTTTCAAAGGCAATGTAATAGAGAAATCAATTTTCAGTATAAAAAACTGAAAAATACAAAAATAAAAATACAACATCATGTATCCTTTTGATTTGTTTTTGCAGTTATCTGAAACTTGTCTAAAATAAAATGACATGCACATTTTTCTCCCCCTTCTTTAGGACACAACAGCTTGGGACAAAAATCTCTGAACGAATCTCAATTTATCCAGGCCTGGGACTGGCACTGAAAAGTAACACACACATTGTGTTGGCCTGTATAACGAAGGAACTTAGCATGCAGGACAGTTTTATGTATGCAAATGTACACTCCAACTCGCTAATTACAGCCTCTCCACCAATCAGACAGTAATTACTGGTATCCTGCCTGCCTTTCCTTCCAATGGCTGAGCAGCTAATTTGAGCAGTGGTTTAAACAGCTGGAAAAAGCACGCTGTTGCAGAGCTGGTGGCCTGTGTGAGCTCCTCAGACTGACTGTGGATGTTACTTTTTGGATATAGTCAGTTTTACATATGGGATCAGATGGGGAGGAAAATGTCTGCATACATGCTCAATTATATTAGTCCCAAAAACCATTGGAAATACTCTATTTTGAGTACATTGTATCCGTAATCAGAACCATTCTTGGGTTTCGTATGACGTCGGGGCAGTGGCGCAAATGACATACGTGGGACAGGACCAGACCAGACGTGACGTACCCTGGCGGTGCAGTCTGCCAGATATATACACGGAGACTAGTAGAAGAAGAAGCGCTGTCAAAATGCCATCTTTTTTTGCAGCAACTGCGCGAATAGGGAGAAAGACAAGAGTTTCTTCCGTGTTCCAAGTGTGGTCTCATATAAAGGAGTGCACTTTGAAAAAATCACTCAAATGAGGCGGGCGAGGTGGATCAAGGCTTTCCCAGATAAGCGCCCCCTGCAGGCCACCCAAATGAAACTCAGCAATTTCTTGTTTTTTTTTTTAAATGCCCAAAATCAATACTCTTTCGAGAAATATGTTTTAGTACTTCCTTAGAATTGAGTGTCCCCCTCCCAATTAAGACTGTTCCAACAACCATACACCGCACAGGATGAGAGCCTTTTGACTCCAAAACAGACACGATTTACATGATTTTCAATGGGAGTAAAACTGAGTTGTCCCACCTCTGCTCATTCGCCACCTACTGGCCAGTTTAATGAAACCCAAGAATTGGGGTTGTAGGTGAGAGAGCAGCAAAGTGGTCACGAAGACAAAAGACTAAACAAGGGTTAAACCAGCGCTGACAAGTTCTCATTCTCCCGTGAGTGTAAATAAGTGCTGCTAACGTGTTCGCTGATACAGAAGTATCAGTTATTATTATAATACTTACATAGCAAAGCTCCGCGAGGATCACGGGTCACAGAGACCTTGCGGATCTGCACTTGTGGAGGAGAACTTTACACAAAAAGCTGCTAGCTTAAACTCGTTTGCATCAAAGCCGACCCACCACTTCTGCCTTGTGTTATATGGCATAGCTGGGCAGTACAGCTGATTTTCTTAACTCATGCATCCATCTACACGTGTCCATGCATCGGCGGTCTGAATGCAGCTTAATGTACAGTATACACACAACTGTACATTTCTTGCTCTAGAATACACAGTCTTTCTGCTTCACAATGATAGGAGGAGCCGACATCGAAGGATCAAAAAGTGAGCTCATTTTGAACATTTGGCCTTTTTGTTGTTTCTTTAAGGAACTATGCATAACAACTTGACTGTAAACTTTGACATTCTGGCATCCCTGATTACCCCCCATATGTAAATGGTTTGGTATAAAGTTAGCTTTAAAAATATGAATGTGCAGCTCGGCTTTACTGTCATGAGCCATCTGTACTTTCTGTTTGGTTAAGTCTTTGCTTTCGCTCCCACTCCCTGGGCTGTAGCACCAAAGGTCAGAGATCATTGGGGGATGATCCATGTGATTGAACACAGGCCTGTTGTATCAAAGTGCTTGGCCAAAAACATTTGTAATGTGAGTTCCAAGAGTCTGATCAATGTGATATAATAAACTCATATATGAACTCAATCTTCTAACAAGCACCTTACATGATGTATAAAAAGGGTAAAAATATGTTGTCTAAGTTTCCCCCTTTCCCCTCCTCCCAACCAGCTCAAAGGGGAGATAAAATGTTCCAGAGGCAGAAAACCAAGCATAATTTCAAAGATGTAACAGAGGGCAGCGATGGAAAAGTGCTTTTAATCTTGTGTAACTCTATAGGCCTCTAAATGGGAACCGCTTCAGAGAGGGGATCGTTTAAAGTGGACATATAATCCTAATTAAAACACAGAACAGGGCGACCACTAGATCTTAGCGACTTCAGCCATCCCCTTCTGCAGGCTCTTTAATTGCTGTTGATGTCACTCTAATGAAATAATGGACACGGCCTTAAAAAAGCAAATCATTAATTGTGGTGTAGTGAATAAGTAGATTGACCAAAGTTACATCTTAGTGATTTAACCTTTGTGTAAAAGTTATATGGACATTGTTGAGTACATTTTTCTAACATTCCAAACTTCTTTTCTCCCTTGTGTCCCAATAGCCCTTCTCACCCGAAATCCCCCAGCACCTCCCGTCCCCTCCATTGATCAGGGTAATTGAGAACAGTCGCGTACCCCACTCCTCAGCCCAGTTCTGCTCCCTCCCGGGGCCCCATGAAAGCTCCCACATCTGGTCCACATACACCCAGAAGTCTTCATTCCCGCAGTCACCTCCAAAACCCGTCCGTCCTGTGCGGGAACTCCAGACGCATTCCCAAGGGTGGAAATACAGAGATTTCAAAACACAAAACCAATTGTACAAGCCTTATGTTTATTTTGTATTTATTCAAAACTTAACCAGGTTATTGAGAACATCATTTACACGATGACCCAGAACCAACACAGGGAAGGACGCTTTAACATTGAAAATACTACACGCAAAAAAGGCAAAGTAATGTACAGACAACACAATTTTGAATGATTATCTCACTGTCACTTTTTTGTTTACATATTATGATGACTTTTGTCCAGAAGGTGTTATATTTGGAATGCTCCTCTTTAGTTAGACGTGCACATAAAATTATCTCGATACTATTTTGCTTGATACAATCCGTGTTGGAGAGAATCCTTTGAAAATTATACTGAAGACCTGCATTTTGTAACATGGTCCAATACAACATGCAGATTATTATTGTATTTTGTGAACATGCAGTGTAGGATTAGGACGACATTGTTTCTTTTGCATTTTTGTTATTGTTAATTAGGAAAGAGAAAAAGACAGTCGCAAGCGCATCTAAAGGCGATGTCTTCATGAATATCCTGCCTAATGTTTATGATCCAATACCACCATGTATTCTTTAAATTCTTAGCTTCATTCTAAATACTTCCAAAAGAAAACGTAATGTCTTGAAATTACAGTCTTGTGATTCTGGGTGCATGTATTTAGTTACTTCCCAACAATGGATTTTATGATACCTTTACAAAAATGAAATTCTCCAAAAAAGTTCAAATATGTGTTTCTATTATACTCAACATAATTGAGTCAATTTTGAGAGATCTCAAACGTGCAGTTAACTCAAG